CTCCTGGTGATGGGATCTAACAGCTCCCATAGTTTGACCTTCTCTCTAAGGGTTTCCCAGGTGGCTCAATGATAAAGAATCTGCCTGCCAATGCAGGAGACTTAAGAGACACAGGTTTGATCCCTGGCTTGGGAAGATGCCCTTTGGAGGAGGAAATGGCAACCCACCCCAGTATTCTTGCTTGGAGAATCCCATGGACAGAGGAACCTGGCGGGCTACACGTGTGGTCTCAAAGAGTCCGAAACGACTGAAGTGACTTAGCACATCTACAAGGAACAGAGCAGCCCAACGGTGGTAGCTGTATTCCCTGCGTTGTACAATATATCCCATATTTATATCGTGTGGACTTCTCCAGAGGCCCCCTGCTGTGTCACTGGAAGCTATATCTGAGTGGTGAGTAGCCTTGGGGTGTGGATGAGCCATCCCGCCCTCATCCTTGGACCTCTGTTGGGTCCACCTGGGGTGGAGGAGGGGTCACCTGTGGCCTGGTCTGGGCAGGAGGGGCTGCTTGATTGCTGAAGCAAAACAGTGGAGGTCTCAGCTGGGAGTCTGACCCCTGATCCCAGGTGCCCCCAAAGGACCTTGGGAAGGGACCTTGGCCTCAGGGAGGGGTTATCTCGGGTCCCTGAGCAGGGCGGGGCTGAGGTGCCTTTGAATCTTCTGGGCGATTCCTGGCCTTGCAGAGGGCTGGAGGCTGGGAGGGATGTGAGCAGAATTCTGTGCCAAGAATTTGGGGCAGATTAGATGAGGATGAGGCTGGGAGTGGTGCAAAGGAGGAGGCTATGTCTCTGAGACATTCTGAAGGCAGAAGGGAGGGTGGGGCGAGGGGATGGAGCCTGAGCTCCATCCTTGAGTAATTACTCTCTGAGTAATTCACTGAGCATTTACTACAAACTAGTCACAGCTCATTGCTTCCCAGGGCCTGGTCTCATTTAATCTGATGGCACCCCCCTGAGGTCCCAGTGATCCGGCAGCTGCTCAGAGAGGGAGGTAATGTGCCCTCAGGTGCGCAGCTGGGAAGAAGGGCCCTGGGATCCAGGCGGGTCAGCTGAGTCCAGAGCCTGGGGCTCCTTCCACCCACACTGCCCTCCCCTCCACAGAAGCTGTCTTCTGTTCAAAAAGAAGCTGCAGGGACCCGAGAGAATCAAAGTGGGATGTTTAGCCTGGGAGATGAGTGGAGAAACAGTGTCTGGAGCAGAAACGGGAGCCCAGATAGGAGGAGGAGGAGGCTGGGATCCACTTGGGATGTTATGATTTTAAGGCGGCAATGGTCATGGAATGCGGTGTTCTCTTGGGGCTGGGGTGTTGACTTGGGGGAAGTCGGTGATACCCACAACCTTCAGTGGAGACCAGGGTCCAGGAACAGGTTGAATCTGGGAAGGAGAGTGTGGACAGTATAAGAGGGGCTGCCTCTTAGAATTGAGGAAAGAGAGGCAGAGTAGGAAGGAGGCTAGGGTGTCCTCCACCTCTGTAGCCTGGGCCTCTGGGCCACAATTGCCTCATATACAAAAAGGAGATAAGAACAGCCCTTCCTCTAGGGTTGAAACGACGTGTCACTCAAGGCACACAACACAGTGCCTGATACATACCAGGCTTACAAAGGTCAGCAGTTATGGGTGTTGTTGCTTCTACCTATTTCTACCTTCTATTCTATTTCAAAGAATCTGCCTGCTAAGCAGGATATGTGGGTTCGATCCCTGGGTTGGGACGATCCCTTGGAGAAGGAAATGGCAACTCACTTCAGTATTCTTGCCTGGAGAAGTTCATGGACAGAGGAGCCTGGTGGACTACAGTCCATGGGGTTGCAAAGAGTGGGACACGACTTAGCTACTGAAACACCACTACTTCAGAGGGCCCCACACCCTATGTCCTGTTCAAATGGGGTAGAGTAACAGGGGCTTTCCTGCTCACATTCTGCCACCTAGAGAATACAGGAGTGGGCCTATATGGAGCTCTCCTTGGTCTCCCAAGGCACGAGAAGAGGGCCGTGGCTTCTGGCCGGGGAGGAGCTGAGCTGGTCCAGGCAGAAGCATCTCCTGGTCTCCGCTGCATCCATGGAGCAGATCCAATCTACAACTGGGTTCCAGGATGGGTCTCAGAGAGAGGCTCAAGGTTCAGCTGGAGTGTCCTTGAACTTGGGAGCTGCAGAGGGTCTCGAGCTATGGAAAGGTGTGTGACGGAGCACTCCCGTCCTGGCACCGGCATCTGGATTCACGCGGGTTGTACACACCAAGGAACTAACCAACCTGCAGCCCCCTGCCGGCCGCCCTTACCACGTTCTCATCGTGGCTCCCTTCCTCCTCTTCTTTGCCAAGCAGGTCTAATAGCTTCTCTTTGATCAGCTGCAAGAAAGCAGGAAGGAAGGTCAGGCCGGGAGAAAGGCATCAAGGTAGCGAGAGAGACCTCCTTCCACGTGGTTGGGCTGGGGAGGCAGGGGCAGCGGCCACCTGGGCTGCAGCTGGACAGACGTTTATAGGAGCCCAGCCTGGCAGCCCAAACTAGGGTCCCTAGCCAAGCTTTTGGTGCAGGAGCTAGAGACTGGGGCGGGGGAGGGGGGCGGCGCGGGAACACGGGAGGGCCTCAGTGTGGTCCCTTGCTCAGTCTGGTCTCTCAGCGTGGCTGGTTCCTCATCTGTCCTGGGGGGACAGTTACTCGTCACTTTCGAGGCCTGAAAACTCCACAGTTCACAAGGTTGGGACACAACTGTGCTAACATTTCATCCTCAATAAGAGAGGAGTTATTAAATATGTTTTCTGATGTGATTCATTTTCTATAACTTTGTACATCTTTGCACAGAAATGATTAAACAGGGCAGAACAAAATCTGGCTGTGGGACCCAGCATGGGAACACAGTCACCATGCTGAGAGGTGGGGTGTGGCACTCCACAGGCCCCTGGTCACCCGAGCTCTCCACTCCCCACAGTGACCCCCAGTGGCCTTTGGCCATTGCCAGTCCCCTCTGGGAGGCAGGCCACTTCTGTGCAGGCCCCGTCTGCTGGGCTGAGACCCAGGTGGTTCTGGGCTTTCCTGGGGGATTCTGGAGTCCCTGGAGCCAGCCCAGGGCTGGGAGGAATGCAGTGGGAAGACTGATGAGCCCCTGGAGCACGCAGTGCCTGAAGCTGCTGTTTGCCATGTGAGAAGCTTTCAGAGGCTCTGTCCCAGCTGCCTCCTGAGGGCGACAGCTCCCTGAACCAGAGCGGGGGAGTGCCCCTACTCTTCCTGCTCAGGATTAATGACGTCTCAGGAGTGCTCCTCCCCTAAACCTGCCTGGAGCCCAGAAGGTGCTGATCCGGTGGTGGGTCACCTGGAGGGCAGGTGTGTGCATGTGGTGTGTGTGTGTGGTGTATGTGTATTTGTGAGCAGTGTGTGAGTGTGGTATAAGTGTAATATGTGTGTGCATGTGTGGAGTGTGTGTGCATATGTGGTGTGAGTATGGTATGTGTGTAGTATATGTGTGTGATATGTGTGTGTGTGGTATGTGTGTGTGTATATGTTGTGTGTGAGTGTGGTATAAGTGTGTGATGTATGTGTGTGCAAATGGTGTGTGTGTACAGTGTATGTGGTTTAACTGTGATGTATGTGTGAGTTTGTGAGCAGTGTGTGAGTGTGGTATAAGTGTGTGTGCAATATGTGTGTGTAGAGTGTGTGGTGTGTGTGTGGGGTATATGTATGTGTATTGTTATATGTGAGTGTGGTATTAGTGTATATGATGTATGTGCATGTCACATGTGTGCAAATGGTGTGTGTGTATATGTTGTGTGCCTGTGGCATATGTATTTGTGAGCAGTGTGTGTAAGTGTTGTATAAGTGTGTGTGGAATATGTGTATGTGGAGTGTGTGGTATATGTGTGTGTGGCACATGTATGTGTGGAGTGTGTGGGGTATATGTATATATATGTTATATGTGAGTGTGGTATTTTTATGATGTGTGTATAGCATGTGTATGTGACTGGCATGTATGTGGAGTTTATGTGGAGCGTGTGTGGCACATGTATGTGTGGAGTGTGTGGGTACATGTGTGTGTCTATGTTATATGTGAGTGTGGTATTAGTGTGTGATGTGTGTGTGTATAGCATGTGTATGCAAGTGGTGTGTGTGTGGACTGGATGTGGAGTGTGTGTGGTATGTGTGTGTGTGTGGTATAAGCATGTGTGGTATGTGTGTGTGTGGTGCAAGTGTGTGGAATATATGTATGTAGAGTGTGTGGTATACATGTGTGTGTGGAACGTGTGTGTGTGGAGTGTGTGGGGTATATGTGTGTGTGTGTTATATGTGAGTGTGGTATTTGTGTGATGTGTGTGTGTATAGCATGTGTATATGACTGGTATGTATGTGGAGTTTATGTGGAGTGTGTGTGGTACATGTATGTGTGGAGTGTGTGGGGTATATGTGTGTGTGTGTTATATGTGAGTGTGGTATTAGTGTGTGATGTGTGTGTGTATAGCATGTGTATGCGAGTGGTGGGTGTGGACTGGATGTGGAGTGTGGTATGTGTGTGTGTGGAGGGTGTGGGGTGTGTGTGTGTGTATGTTGTATATGAGTATGGTATAAGCGTGTGGGGTGTGTGTGTGTGTGGAGTGTGTGTGGCGTGTGTGTGTGGAGGGTGTGGGGTGTGTGTGTGTGTGTGTATGTTGTGTATGAGTATGGTATACGTGTGTGTGGTGTGAGTGTGTGGGTGCAGACACACCCATGCATAAGCCCCACATGAGGCCCAGGGGCTCCGCACCAGGCCCTGCACTGGCTCATGCTCTCCTGCTCATCCCTCCGGCTCCCTGCGTGCGGGTGTAGATGGCCCTGGGGATAGGCCTGCGGCTTCCGTCTCTCACACCCACCCCTCCCCGGTGCCTGGGGCGCGGGGACAGACAGTGTCCACACACAGGGAGGGGAAGGTGGCCCTGGGTGGAGGGAGGCCGAGCTCTCCCTGTTCCGTGCTCTGGTTCTGGGTGTTGGGGCAGGATGAGGGCGCCTGGTAGTCCCCCACAAGCAATCCCACATCTTACCTCATAAATATAATCAAAGAGCTCTAGTATTGTAAGGATACTAGCACCAATGAACAATCCCATCTGACCACCAATATCACCTGGAGAGAGAGAGAGAGAAGACAAGACTTGGCTTTCCTGACAGCGCTTCTGGAAGGTCAAATGGACGGAGAACTCGGAAAGCAGGCTTTCTGAGAGGGCCCCTTCCCAGAGGTGGGGCCTGGGCCAGGAGGGCAGGCCCTGGACAAGCCGCTCCCTCACTGCGCTGCTCTGAGAGCTTCTGGGTTTCAGCACCCACGGGGGTGGGAACTAGCCTGGATGCTTACTTGAGGGGCCTGGAATGAACCTCCCGGGCTGACGGCCTGGCTCATTTCCATTCGGAGCCACACTGTTGGGGCCAGGCTTGGCTCCCGGGCTGGGAACAGATGAGACGTGTGTGGTCCCTGCCCCGGGGGGAGGGCACAGTCTAGCCCGAGACCTGTGTCAGTGTCCTGAGTGGGGGTCTCAGGAGCAGGCACATAAGAGACACCCCCCAATTATGACAGGGTCTTTGAGGCTGTCTTGAGGCCCCTCTCACCCTTGGGATGAAGTCCTTGGAAGCATCTGTCTCCCCTCCCTAAAGGTAAATGTTCAGTCTATTTACTTTTATCATTTTTGGCTGTGCTGGGCCTTCATTGCTAGGCGCAGGCTTTCCCTGGTTGCGGTGAGCAGGGCTATTCTTCCCTGTGGTGTGCGGGCTGCTCACTGCGGTGGCTCCTCTTGTTGTGCAGCACGGGCTCTAGGCGCATGAGCTTCACTAGTTGCAGCTCGCAGGCTCCAGAGCACAGCTCAACAGTTGCGGTGCACAGGCTTAGCTGCTCCACACCATGTGAGATCTTCCAGGACCAGGGATTGAACCCTTGCATTGGCAGGTAGATGCTTAACCACCGGACCACAAGGGGAGTCCTTTGGTCTCCTTCTAGAGTACAGGTTCTTGCCCTGAGTACATGATTCCCGTGGACCAGGGGTCTTCTGGTCCCCTTGTATCAAACTCCTGGGAGACTTGTAATCAGTATAGATGCCTGCACCTACCTGCTGCGCTTAGTCGCTCAGTCGTGTCTGACTCATTGCGACCTCATGGACTGGAGCCCGCCAGGCTCCTCTGTCCATGGGGATTCTCCAGGCAAAAATACTGGAGTGGGTTGCCATGCCCTCCTCCAGGGGATCTTCCCAACCCAGGGACTGAACCCAGGTCTCCTGCATTGCAGGTGGATTCTTTAACATCTGAGCCACCAGGGAAGCCCTGGGACCTATGCAATCAGAGTCTCCGGGACTGGGGACTGGAGGTCAGGATTTTTACGTTCCCACGTGGTTCTCCAGTCCACCAGAGTTTGAGAACCACTCTCCTGTGGGACCTTCCAATGCTTGGAGACTCCTCGAATTGAATGCAAATAGTTACGTGTGGGTATCTGGGCATTTGTAGCTGGAGAGTCCGTATTTCAGAAGCTGTTATCAGATTCTTAAGGGGGTTCTGATGCCCTGAAAGTCCCCAAACGCTCTGCTCCAGAGGCAGTGTGTCGGAGCACAGGGCTCTGAGGCTGTGAATATGGAGGGCGGCCACCAGCTGGCTGTGTGGCTTTGACAAGCCCTGACCTTCTCAACAGCTTCGCCTACCAGGAACATTTGGTGGTGGAGGTGGTTGGGGGAGGGTCGGAGATGAACAGTGAAGCCCTTTTCAGCTATGACCTCTAGGACTGTGAGCCGCTGGGCTAGGAAGAGCGCTGGGAGTGGGGGGCACTGTTGGGGGTGGGTGTACCATCTCCTGGAGATTCCAGGCTGACCTCTTGATCTGAGAACTGAGCCGCTGGGTTAGGAAGAGCGCTGGGAGTGGGGGGCACTGTTGGGGGTGGGTGTACCATCTCCTGGAGATTCCAGGCTGACCTCTTGGTCTGAGAACTTTCTGATGAGCACACTTGCCCACTCCTCCCTGATTATGGCTGGGAGAAGCCCAGCAAGCACATCCCCAGGTGAGCAAGCTGTGATGGTGGGAACGGGGCTCTTCCCGGGGGGGACTTGGTGTCCCCCTTCCTTCCCACTCCCCCCACCCCCTCTAATGTCCTTGATGGAGGCTCACTGGGGAGTGTATACGCATGCACGTGCCTGTGGGGGGTGGCTGTATGTGTGAGCCGTGTGGCAGAGTGTGGAGGGCGTGCCAGGGTGCATTGTGTGTGCATGTTCGGGACAGAAGCAGGCCTTACATCTGGCCACCAATGGCTTTATATAGGTGGCACACGAGTGTGTCTAAGGGTGGCTTTGTGGGGGTGGGCACAGTGCGTCTGAATGTGTGGAGGAGGTGTGAACGTGCTTGTCTATGGCAGGTATAGATATGTAGGCATGTGTGCATCTACGTGTCTCTGGAGTTGTGTGATTTGCACTTGGGTCTGTGCAGGTGTGCACTAGTGTGTGAGTATCACCCTGGTGCCTGTGTGTACGCTGGGCTGAGGCGTGCTCTCTGAGTGAGGGGAAGGCGGGCCACAGGGCGGATAGGCAGGGGCCAGTGTGGACTTCCTGACTCAGGGCTTGCAAGCCGCACTACGTCTTCTCGCGAGAGGTACATATGGCAGCGCGATTTTCCGCGGCTGGCGTGTGAGAGAGCGTGCGTGTGCACTAGCGCACTTGCGTGTGTGGGGGAGGGGAGCAGAGGGAAGGAGGCGTGTCCTCGGTGATAGGGGCGGGGCTTTAGCCCCAGCCCAGCCCGCGAGTCTCTTAGCACAGTCCCTCTCTGGCCACAACCGTCTCCAGGGCTCTTAGTGATGGCCACCTTAGCCCAGTGGGGACCCTGCGGTGTCCGCCGCTTCCTAGGAGAGTGTCTGTCTGGATGCCAGAAACCACTGTTTATGGGCCTTCTGTGGGCTGGGACTTGATCACATTTCACCATCATGGCAAACTCACGGAGGGTTTTATTAGATCCATTCTACAGATGAGGGACCTGAGGTTCAGTGAAGTGAAGTCGCCTGTCCACATACTCCGGGCTGGTGTGCAGTAGCCCCTGACCTGTGCTCCCCTTGAACTTCCAGGTAGAAGGTGTCTGTCTCCCGTGCCCCCCCACTCAGGATGCCTCGCTCACCTAGTTCAGTTCACAGAGACAACAAGAGTTATTTTCCTTGAAGCCACAGACATCGGATCCTTTCTTGAGAGTGAGTGGGAGCTGGGGGGATGGGTTCAGGGTAGGTCTTTTACGTGTGCCCGCTAAGGGATCTTGTTAGATTTAAGCTGGGCTGGGGCAGGGTTGAAATTAACATCTGGCATCCACCGTGTGCCTTCGCGGGCAGAGGAGCTGATGTGAACTAAGGTAGGGTGGCCACCAGGTTTGTAGATTTCTGGGACTATGTGGCCCTTCTTTAGGGTCTGACAAAGAGCTCTCAGTCCAGGGGCAATTGGCCTTCTCAACGTGGCAACATTGCTTTCCAGGTGGGGCCTCCATGGGTGGGACCCTTGTGGTGTCTGCTCCCTGGGAGCATCCATAGCTCAGCCCCGCTGCACCTATCCGCCACGGCCCCAGGGCTCTGACTCCAGTCAGCGGGCAGAAGACTGTGGAATCTGAGAGGGCGGTGCTGGAAGGGTCCGGAGAGAATGGCTGGCTCACCTGCCTCATTGTGTCAATGGGGAAACTGAGATTAGACCAGGGAATGGACTGGGCCTAACACCGCCGCATGCAGTGCTTCCCACTCCGGGGCAGGAGCAGTGCGAGGGGAGAGGGAGCAATTAGTGAATGAAAAGGCGGGACTCTTTTAGAGTCATCATCTGGCTGCCACCTGCCCATCCCCCCTTCCTCCCACCCTCTTGTGTACTTAGTTGCTCAGTGGTGACCGACTCTGTGACCCCGTGGACTGTAGCCCACCAGGCTCCTTTGTCCGTGGGATTTTCCAGGCCAGCATACTGGAGTGGGTTGCCATTTCCTTCTCCAGGGGATCCTCCCGACCCAGGGATCGAACTCGCATCTCCTGCATCATGGGCAAAACCCCCTTTCTTTACCGTCTGAGCCAGCTGGGAAGCCCCATGTTACCCTGCATGCATGCATGCGTGCTAAGTCGCTTCAGTCGTGTCCAACTCTTTGAGACCCTGTCCATCCCCCTGAGATGTGGACATTTGTGTAACGGACACTCTGACTTACCAAGTAAGGCAGCGACTTCATATGCCTTCTTCTGTTCGATGGTCTCATAATTGAGAGCTTCAAAAAATATATCCAGAACAAGGATGTTTTCTCTGTGGGGGAAAGGTTCAGTGTCACATGTGGTGAGAATCATCAGGACCCGCAGGGATCATATCATACAATTTTCCCATGGACAGAAAGGGAAACAGAGGCCCGGGTACGTGAGACAATGGGCTCCATGTTAGAGCTGGTTAGTCACAGAGCTGGGGCTTGAACCTGGAAGTCGTGACTCCCAGCCCAGTGCTCTTCATGGGCCTGGAGGGGTATGTCAGCTCTCCCCTTGGCCCCTTATTGCTCACCCACCCTCTCTCTGCCCCCTTTTCCAGGAGTCCTGCCAGGCCTCCAGGTCCCTATGCCCCAGGGGGTCTGCCTGGGTCCTTATATGCAAGTGAGCTCAGAACTCACTTAACAAGGCTTGCTTGCCTGCCCCCAACTTACCTCCCCTGCTCACCCTAGAGAGGCCCCCAGTTCTTACTGGGATTGACGGCAAGCTTCTCCTGGTGGGAGCCCTGTCCCAGCATCACCAAGTTAGCTGCAGGAGCCAGGGAGGGCTTTTAGGGAGCAAACCTACATCCGGCTGTGGGGTTTTCTGGCAGAAGCACCTCAGTTCCCTTCTGCTCTTTGGGGCAGCTGTATTCATGAGACACATCTGGGTGAGAAGCCGTTACCATCAGCAGAATGTTTGCAGCTGTGGGGCCTGGCCCGTCCTATCGATCCAGTTACCCTGATTCTTTGATGCTGCTCATGAATGGCCTTGGTGCTGCTTGCCCTCAAGGGGCACACACCATCCCAGGATGAGAGCTGGTGACCGTGTGGGAGGGAGAGGCTGGAGGAGGTTGAAATTAACACGCTGCATCCATCATGTGCCTTCGGGGCCAGAGGAGCTGCTGTGGACTAGGGTGGGGTGGCGGTCCGGTGTGTAGACCCGAGGGTGGGTAAGAGCGAGAGAAGCCCTCTCCACACGGGGCTCACCCAGGAGCCATCCGCCATCTCTCTCCTGGTTTATTGCAACTGCCTCCGACCCGGCTCCCTTCCGCCCATCTGTCTGCCCATCCATCCTCTTAACTGGGTCTTCCTAAGACCTCTCAACTAACCCACATAACACAGAATTAGCATCCCGTGCCTCCATCAGCCAGGCTGCCTTTAAAATGCTCAATAGTCACAGGTGGCCAGTGGCCACCACGTAGGACATCATGGAGATAGAACATTTCTAGAAGGTTCTACCATAGAACATGTCATCTAAAATGCAGATGTGTGCCTATCACGTGCCTGCCTGAACCTCTTCTGTGGCTCCCTACCCTCTTAGCATCAAATCTACTCCCTGACTCCCACTCCCGCCCAGCTCAGCCTATAAGACCCACATCTACCTCTCCCGGCTTCCTTTTGCTGTACTCTTGTGACACCCTCTTCTCCTATGTCTTCCTTTCATTTATTTTGTTCAAAGATTATTTTTTTTGAGCATCAACTCCGTGCCAGACACTCCACAGCAGAGAACAAAAAAGAAAGGTTTGTGCCCTCAAGGGGCAGGCAGGTAATTGAAGGAAACAGCCACATGAATATTGAATTACACACAGTGGCGAGTATTTTAAAGGAATACACCTGAGTATTTCGAGAGAATGACAGGAGGGGGCCCAGTTTTTTGGTCCAAAGAGATGACATTTAAATGGAGCCCTGCGAAACAAGGAACCAGTTGGGTGAAGAGTGAGAGGAAGAGCATTCTAGGCAGAGGGAACAGAATATGCAAAATCTGCCTGAAAAACTCCTCTGCATTGTGTAAAAACACCTCTTAAACTTTCCTTGACAGCACCCCTATGCAAGGTACGGCCAAAGACCTCTTTTATTATCTGCACCAGCCTGGGCAGCTTTTAGTGTTGTATTTGTCTCTACCGGTCTGTAAGCTCCTGAAAGATGGCACTGCTTCTTAATGCACTTTGTCTTCATACTCTGAGTCTGAGGACAGAACTTGGCCGAGAGCAGGTGCTCAATTAACATCTGCCAGATGGAACTAACTGCTTACCTTTGTCTTCTTCCTTGACTGTCCCCCCACCTTCCCATTTTTTTCCTGGTCCCTCCTCCCCCCACCAGCCTCCACCCTGTCCACTTAGCTTACGAGATATATTTTTCTGATTTGTTAAATTTCTTCTCGAGGTACTTGGCTGATGTCTTGCTGGGGATCTTCACCATGGAGAGCTCTTTGTTGTAGCGGGTCAGGTTGCAGGGGGTCCTGCAGAGACAGTAATTACTGTCCTTTTCTGCCAGCAGACCTGCAGGGGAGAGGAAGGCAGGGCTGAGTTGGGTGCAGGGGACTGGGACCTCTGGGCCCAGAGTAGCCAGCTCCTGGGTTCCTGCAGCAGAGAAGTGAGCTGGGAGGAGGCACCCTCTGGGTGAATGAGGGGTGGGCAGCTGTGGAGAGAAGGGGAGCTGGGCTTTTGCTCGAGGTTGATGAGCATATGAACAGTTGCAAAAGCACCTACTCTTTCTATGTTACTCTTTTTTTTTTTTTAATAAAATAACTGTTTTAATGTACTTGTCAGCTAATTTTATTATCTGAATAATTTCTGCATCCCTTTCAGTTGAGTTTTTAAATTTGATTTTATTTATTATTTTTGGCTCTGCTGGGTCTCTGTTGACCCGTGTGGGCTTTTCTCTAGTTGCAGCGAGCAGGGGCTTCTCTCTGGTTCTCACTGGGGTGGCGTCTCTTGTTGGGGAACACGGGCTCTAGGGCAAGCGGGCTTCATTAGTTATGGCACACGGGGGCTTAGTTGCTCCTCGGCATGTGGACCAGGGATGGAACCCGAGTCCTCCACATTAGCAGGCGGATTCTTCACCACTGGACCCCCAGGGAAGTCCTTTTTCTGTTACTCTTGGTTCTGTGTTCCTTCTGCTTCCTTTACTGTTAGGTTAACTTTTGTAAGTATGACCACCACTTTGGAAACATGGGCTTCAAGGGAGTCCTGGGCCTCTGATCATCCCAGGGCCTTCTTCTCTGCTCTCAGCGGCAGATCTCATCTACAGAGGGGGCTGTTCATCACAGGCAGGAGTGGGAGGCCACTGCATCTGAATCCCTAGGCTCCCTGGTCTTCCCTCGGGGGCTCCCTCGTAGCTGGTGCCCGCTTCCTCTGCCGGCTGGTTGAGGACACAGAGTGAGTCTTTGCATCCACCAGAAGTCCCTCCTCTTTCCAGCCAGCCCTCCTGGAGGCATCTGGACACTTGAGTCCAGAACTGCTCCACTTAGATCCAGCAAGTACGACTGCTGAGCAAACTTGAGTCCGGATGATTTAAATACTCCCTGCTTGTCTTGCCTGTAAATCATTTCCCAGATCCCCGAGAGGCGGGCGTGTGGAGTGGGTCATGCTCTGGGGTTGTAGCTTGTTGGTGTGATCCCCCTCACCGGAAGTTTTCCGGGGTGGGGGGTGGGGTGGACCAGCAAACACTCAGGAGGAGGGGTGGGGGGTGTTCCTGCCTCCCCTGTGTCCCTGAGGAATGACACTGGGGCTCACCCCTCTGCCTGACCCCACCTCTCCTGGCTCAAGGGAGCAATGCTTGGGAATAACCTCCAGGGTGTGCGCTGGGAGGTATCACCAAGCTCCTTTCGTGCCCACCGGTCCCCACTGTCCATCCTCTCTCCATCTCTGCCCGCTCCTCTGCATTCCTCAGCGCTCTCTGCTCCCCGCAAACTCACTCCTTCTCTGTCCCCACCTCTCTGCCTCCTTTCACTCCTTGGTAGGGTTTCCACCCTCATCGCTAGCATCAGTTCCCTCCCCCATCCTTCTCTCCTTCCTCCTCTCCATCTCCCTCTTCTGTCCCTGCAGGGATGCCACCCTGTCTAGCCTCTTTCCCCCTCACCCTTCCCCATCCCCTTTCCCCCCATCTCTCTCCCACACCTGGAAGGTCTCCAAGCTCTCAATCGCAGCCCCCACCCCCATCATTCCATTGGGCCCCTGGTACTGACCTAGGGCAGGCTCTGCACACTCCTTGTGCTGCTCAGGGGTACAGAAAGGGGCATCCCCTGCAAAGAAGAAAGACAGGGAGAGGTATTCAGGCAGCAACCCCTCCCCTCCTTGGGCCGGGGGAAGGGATTGCATCCGGGTACTTGGGAGGGGTAGCAGTTCACCAGTGGACAGTCAGAAGGCAGCTGTCAATCAGGACTCCCTAGGGGTAGTGGGGGACCAGAAGACTGGGCTGTGATCCTCTCTGTGATAATGGGAACCATCTAGCTAATTTCTCCCAGGTTGGACAGCCTGGTTCATATAGGTGACAGGAGAGTGTTGACAGTGGGGAGGCAGTGGTAGGTACCTCCTAAGCTCTGGGCATGCATCATCCCCTTTAACCCACTTAGGTACCTTTGGAAATAGGAACTACTGTGTCTGTGTGATTGGTGAGAGAGTTAAGGTTTAACTACCCTGTTTTCCCAGGCCTGCAGTGATGGAGGTGGGCTTGGAAGCCAGGTCCGTGTGCTCACGAGCCTAGGGCTCTTTGTGTCACAGCAGGCTGCCGTGAGTGAAGGCTGCTTGGTCAGTCTCCCCTTTGTGTGCCCTTCATTCCATGTTATAATGGAGATGCCAGTAACAGTGTCATCTGGGGACTGATTAAAATCTCTCTGCTGGCTTGGGCTCAGGTTCCATGGGAAAACCTCACTGGCTGGTGACCCAGTCTCAGCATCAGGCAGGTAGCATTTTTGTTGTTTAGTCTCTCAGTCGTGTCTGACTCCTTGTGACCCTATGGACTGTAGCCTGCCAGGCTCCTCTGTCCATGGAATTCTCCCGGCAAGACTACTGGAGTGGGTTGCCATTGCCTCTCCAGGTGACCTTCCCGATCCAGGGAGTGAGCCCGCATCTCTGGCTTTGGCAGCAGAGTCTTTACCACTGAGCCACAGGGATGCCCAGGTAGCATTTACCAGTGCTTGATTCTCTCTGGTCTCTGTAGAAATCCAGAAACTGTTTTTTTTTTTCTTTTCCCATGTGCTAAAGTCAAAGCCAATTCATTGGAAAAGACTCTGATGCTGGGAAAGGTTGAAGGCAAGAGGAGAAGAGGACGGCAGAGGATGAGATGGTCGGATGGCATCACTGATTCAATGGGCATGAACTTGGGTGAACTCTGGGAGATGGTGAGGGACAAGAGAGGCCTGATGTGCTGCAGTCCATGGGGCCGCCAAAAGTCAGACACAGCTTAGTGACTGAACAACAACAGATGTCAAAGTCCACCACAATACCCTCTTATTTCTTCCCCAAGAGCTGAAGAACTGAAATGGTTCCTCTTTTCTAATAATAAGAATTAAACTGATATGTTTCTCTTTTTGTTTTGTCTTCTATTCCATTCTATTTTTGCCTGCTTCTCAGAGGCTATTTTAAAGATTGATAATCCTAAATTTAGATTACGAGAGAACTTACTGGTTACTAATGCAATTGTTCAGAATTTAGCTCCAAGGATGTTCATTTCAGCATTGGTTATGACAGAAAACAATTGGTAATGAGCTAAATGTCCAAGGTCAGGATTTAGTTAGATAAACTAACTATGATTATGATATAATCATGAAACAATAGCCATGAAATATAGTAGTAAAGTTCCCTGCACATAGTAGGTCTTCAGTCACCAGTACTCTCAATTCCTTCTCCCCAATCACCACTGATGTTTGCAATTGACAAAGCATTTTTGTTTTTTTTTGGCTGAACTGTGGGATCTTGGTTCCCTGACCAAGGATCAAAGCCTGGCCCCCTTGCAGTGGAAGCTCAGAATCCTAACCACTGGGCTGCCAGGGAATTCCCAACAAAGCATTTTTATATTTAGCTAAATTTTATCCTAACAGCAAATGTTTGTGTTTTAAAGATGATGGAGGTAAGAACAGAGACATTTAGTAACTTGTGCCAGGTCACACAGCCGTCACGTGGTGGGAGCTGAGTTAGAAGCCAAGGCCACTGATTGTAGCCTCAGTCGTCCTTCCTTCCGCTGCAGTACCAGGCTCTTCCTGCCCCAGTCAGCACCAGCCCCTTCTGCCTGTGACAAGCCGACTGCCTCTAGTGATGGCTACTCGCATTGTTAGTCTGACAACAGGAATGTCAGGACACACGCATCCATTCGCTGGCTGATGGACTCTTGCCTGACTTGAAAGAGTGCTAGACATTTGGATGCAAGAAGGGAAAATATCTGGAGGAAAGCAGTAAACATCTGGATGTCTGAATGTGTACCACACCAGGATGGGAGAATTGTAAGCATCCAGATATGTGGTCACTTAGCTCTAGGAGGGAAGAACAGCAAACAACTAGCAAACATATTGGACACTGGGAGGAATGCTCTCCAAACTTCTGTCCACTCTGCAGACCACGACGTTGCTGTGGTTGCCAGACTGGGTGTTCCCATCTGCCCCCGAAATGTCTGCACATCAAATAACTGTCTTCCCAGAACAGCGTCCCTGGGCATCCTCGTGGAGTGGGTGAAGAGCGTGGAGTGGGTGAAGAGCGTCCCGTCGGGTGAGAAATGCAAAGAAGGCCGCGGGCAGTCCCCGGCACCCTGTGGCCTCCCTCCCCGGCACTGACCTGGCATGTGGACCATGCGGCAGTTACAGTTCTCCACGATGTAGCGGGTCTCACAGTCGATCCTACAGGCGGTGATGCTGTAAACGGGAAAGAAGTCGAGCCCCATCTCGGAGGACCGGCACTCGCCCCACGGCGGGGGCAGGTATGTGAGCTGCAAGGCAGGAAGGAGGGCCAGCAGTCAGCCCTGGAGCTTCAGCCGGAACACACCCAGTGGCTCCTTCGTTCACTTATGCAATTAAAAAACAATTAACTGATCGGCTACTGCGTGAGTGCCTAAACTCCGGGGACCTCCCAGGCCTTCAACATCTGGCTCCAAAATCAGTTCTCCTATCTTACCTTTTATAACCTTCCCTATAAATGCTGATCTTCTCAAAGTCTTTTACCCCAGCCGCATCTTCCCACTTCCACAATTTGTTGTCTTGCATTTTTCCGCAGCAGAGAAGTGGGATAAAAATTGGAGGGCTCTGTGGACCCCTCCCTCCTTTCTAAGGTTTTTCTCCCCATTTTTAGCTTTTCTGGCAGCCCTGAACTCTGGCTTGAGACTTTTTAACTCCAGGATGACTGCTTTCAGCTTGAGCTGTATCTATAATATTCCCTCAGAAGTTGATGTGTCCTCAAAGGAGCGATCCGATAAATATTGATAAATGTGTATTTCATCTAGGGTGGTTCCCTTCCTTCAAGGTCTGTATAAACATGCCAGTTCCGGCCTGTTTTTAGTCTCCCTCCCATCAAGTAGTGCTTTTGAAATCTTTTGGCCAGAGTTTATAATCGTTAGTTTCAGGAGGGTTAGTTAGCCTTGTATAAGTTGCCCCACCATAACTGAGAATCAAAAATCTCTTTATGTATTTTATTTTAAGGCTTACGGGATTCCTTTGAGGGAGATGTTCCTGTTATAATTTTATTTGGGAGGAAGCTGAGTCTAAGAAAGGTTAATAGGGACTTCCCTGGCACTCCAGTAGTTAACATTCCATGCTTCCACTACAGCAGGTGTGGTTTGATTCCTGGCCGGGGAACTAAGATCCCGCATGACACATGGCATGGTCAAATAAATAAATAAAAGAAAAAATAAAAAGAAAGGTTAAGTAGCCTGTCCAAGGTCATGCACAAAGTCACTGGCAGAGTCGGCATGTGGACCTAGGACTTTCTGACTTCAACCTTGCTTGTATATATACTATTACATCGTCTCTGTGTCTCTATAGGAAATTGACACGAGAGAGAAAAACACTCCAGAGAGGGCCTTTCAGAGCTTTTCTCTTTTTGTTTTTTCCTACAGCTCATTTCTTCTTCCTTTCCCCTGAAGATTTGCACTACTCTCTCATCTTTCTTTGGAGTTCATGAGCAGACCAGGATTTTGCAGATTTCCTGTATAACTTTGGATAGGTCACTGCTCTCCTCTGGACCTCAGCTTCCCCATCTGTAAATGGGGAGGACTGACAAGTACGTTTGATAGTGTATGATTAGAATGGACTGGGTCCCCACATTGCTCACTATTGGATCCATAAGCACACAAACTGGATTTGGGAAGAATTCGTAATGACTTTTGGCAAGGCTGAGGGTCTAAAATGATGTAAGATCATTTTGGGAGAGGCTCATTTATTTTTCCTCTAAAACGGTTTCCCACAGTGGGTGAACCCAGAATTTAGTGGGTGAAGCTCTGTGGATGGGCCACGGTTTGTTCAGGGTCAGTCACTACCCCCCCCCTTTTTTTTTTTCTGAGGTCATGATCCAGACCTGGGACCTTCCAGGTGGCACTAGTAGTCAAGAATCCTCCTGCCAATCTAGAAGAAGCAAGAGACTCGGGTTCGATCCTTGGGTCGGGAAGATCCCCTGGAGAAGGAAATGGCAACCCACTCCAGTAGTCTTTCCTGGAGAATTCCATGGACAGAGGAGCCTGGCGGGCTACAGTCCATGAGATTGCAGAGAGTCGGATACGACTGAGCACGCATGCACGCATGATCCAGATACCATGGCTTCCCTGTGGGGGCTGGTTTATCATTCATCCCATCACGTTTTCTGAAGCCTCGCACGGCACAGAAGCTGGAAAATCGCAGTGTGTATAGCATCAACTCTTGCTTACCATCGGGTGTCTGAAAGTGGGTTGGACTGTTTATCCTGGGTAAGCAAAGCCTCAGGGGGACCCTGAAGCACTGTCTTCAAATATCTGAAGGGCTGTCTCAGGGAAGAGGAATTAGATTTGTTTCCTGGAATCCCCAGGGAAAGACAGACACAAGAACAGTTGTACTAAGGGAAGTGGGGAGGGCGACCACATTGATCGATGTTGCAGACACTGTGGTAGGCACAGTCCGTGCATTCCCTTCTTAATGCTGAAGAAGGATACACTCTGTCTCAACTTTCTAAACTACTCTTATGATTCAATAATAAAGTCACTTTCATGAGGGTGAGTTCCCCATCATGAAGGGTGTGCAAGCAAAAACCATACAGCTACCTGGCTGGGATGGGAAGAGAGAGATTCAAGCATTGCAGGTACAGTTGGGGATTCAAAAATCTCTTAAGCCCTTATGCCTAGCCACAGACCGTACATCTAAAATTTATAAATTTTATTTTAATTTAATTTTATTTATTTTTAAACTTTTTATTTTGTATTGGCATATAACAGATCAACAGCATTGTGAAAATTTCAGGTACACAGCAAAAGGACTCAGCCATACATATATTTTCTCCCTCAAACTCCTCTCCCATGCTGGTTGCCACATAATATTGAACAGATTTCCCTGTGCTATACCCTAAGACCTGTTGGTTAATCATTTTAAACATAGCAGTGTGTACATGTCCATCCCAAATTCCCTAACTATCCCTTCCCCTCTGGTAACCATAAGATCATTCTCTAAGTCTGTGAGTCTGTTTCTACATCTGTAATTTTAATCTGAAAACTAGAGACAGTGGAACAAGTCAGACAGAACCTTGAATCCCACTGTTTCACGGGCTAGCTCTGTGACTGTGAATAAGTGATGAAACCCCCATTCTCCAGCCTCAGCTTTTAGCCTCCTCATCGGTCTAAATGAGATAAATGCCCAGCAGCTCATCGGTACTCACCGAGACTTAGTTCCTATCTTCTTCCACCTAACAAATGCCTTCATGTTTTTCTGCCCTTTTGTTCCTTCAACAAATAGACCAGCTCCATCTCTGCTGTCCTTACAGTCTGGTTTTATAGACCAGCAAATCTCCATCCTTTTTTGGCTCAAGTTATCTTTCGTTGGGTTTATTATGATATGGGCTCCTGTCAATGCAGACATCCAAGTCAAGATGGTACTCAGACAGCTGATCTAGGGGTCTGAAGCTGGGGACGGAGATCTGGGGGTGGGGGGGGGGAGAGATGTGAATGGGGGGAGGGCTCTGGTGGATCTTTAAGCTGTTGGGTGGATGAGCCAGCTCAGGGATAGAGGAGAGATGCTCAGGATTGAGTCTTAAAGTGTTTCTGCCTTTACTTGACAACTCATCCATCCTTGGCTTTCCCATCCCTCCTCCTCCCCGCTCCGTGCCATGGAACCAACCAGTGGCTTTACACAATTGCTTATATTTATGAGCTAAGCCAAGATCTCAGAACTTTTACGATAGAATACCCTGGTGCTTGCCTCTCATTGCTCCACTGTCTTGAGGCTTCTCTCCACAGACGTTTTCATTTTATAGAGAGAAACTGGTGTTTGCACCCTCCCCGTGCCGGGATGGCCTATGCTATTCCTCAGCTGCGGGCTTCCCCAGCCTCTCCCTGCCCGCAGATTCCGAGGTGTGCCAGCAGGTGGCGCTGCAGCCAGCCTAGCTGCCAGTAGTCAGAGATGCCTGGAGGGAGTCAGCCAGTCGCTCAGTTGCGTCCGACTTTTTGCACACGCATGGACTGCAGCCCCGAGGCTCCTCTGTCCAAGGGATTCTCCAGGCGAGAATACTGGAGTGGATTGCCATTTCCTTCTCCAGGGGATCTTCCCACCCCAGGGATTGAACCTGGGTCTCCTGCACTGTAGGCAGATTCTTTATTGTTTTCTGAGCCACCAGTTGCTAAGCTCCCTTGGCCTTTTCCTTGTGTCTGCAGCCCACACTCTAAGGCCTTGGCTAGGATGCTCCTTTAGGGAGGATGCTGGGACAGTGATGAGGCTGTGTATTAATATGTTCCTCCTGCTACTGGAAAGGGTAGGAAAGACCAGAGGAGAGAGTCAGGCGGCGGGAGACAGGGAGATATGCCCACTGAGCTTAGCTGGTGCCCATCTGACTCTTCTGTTGTGTCAGCCACTTGGCCTTTTGATTTAGGCACTGGCCACAATGATCACCTGGACCCAATCCCTTTAGACTCTGGAATTCCCTTGCCGGTTCCTTCCCAGGGCTGGGTCAGGGTCTTTGTTCTGACCTGTTTGGCTTCTCCTTCTTCCTCGTTAGCCCACCTGGCTGAGATCCTGGTTCCCTGTCTGCTGGGAGGACCCATCTTAGGAGAACGTGCTCAGACCCAGCTGGGTTGGAATCCTAACTCTGCCATTTGCTTAGTGGGGGACTTCCCCTTTCTGCACGAGAAACACCCTGAGATATTAACTACTTCAGAGGGACACTCTGGGTTTTGAACACAAGGTATGTGTAAGTCAGCTGTCACCCTTGGCTGATGTCTTCTGGTCTCTGTTCTGGATCATATGGATGGGATGCAAAACTCAGCCCCTCATTTATTTTCATGAAAGCCCATTCACCCAGGGCATTAGATTATACGGAAGATGTCAGAGTTGGAGGAGGGTCTACATCAGAGCAAAGCCCCTTCTTCTTGCCTAAGCCCAGCCCCTCTCCATGTTCCTCCTTCCCTTCCTTCTCTCCTTCCTGCTTTCTCTCTCCTCATCTGCTTTGCCATCCTTTCCAGAAGCAGAACCCACATATACTTAAGGAGCTGCATCGTCCTTTGACATCTTGGTACATGGCAACATCCTCTCCTATGGAGTCTCAAGGAAAGGCACTTTCCTCCCTGGGTGGAATTCTAAAGCCAAATATTAAGATTTTTTTCTGCTTTGTTCTGTAGTAACAGGAAACATCTCCAAGAGTGTCTGGTGAATAACAGATGTTGAATAAACTGAAGATGTTGGCGTCTTATCTCCTTTCCGGGTCTCTGTCTCACTGTGTGCAGTGACCTGGCAACAGAGACCCCTGGTGTGCTGTGACCGGAAA